GTGATGTAGGGAGGAGGATATGTGGGTGATGTAGGGAGGAGGATATGTGGGTGATGTAGGAAGGAGAATATGTGGGTGATGTAGGGAAGAGGATATGTGGGTGATGTAGGGAGGAGGATATGTGGGTGATGTAGGGAGGAGGATATGTGGGTGATGTAGGGAGGAGGATATGTGGGTGATGTAGGGAGGAGGATATGTGAGTAATGTAGGGAGGAGGATATGTGGGTGATGTAGGGAGGAGGATATGTGGAGGATATGTAGGGAGGAGGATATGTGGGTGATGTAGGGAGGAGGATATGTGGGTGATGTAGGGAGGAGGATATGTGGGTGATGTAGGGAGGAGGATATGTGGGTGATGTAGGGAGGAGGATATGTGGGTGATGTAGGAGGAGGGATATGTGAGTAATGAAGGGAGGAGGATATGTGGGTGATGTAGGGGGAGGATATGTGGATGATGAGGGAGAGGATATGTGGGTGATGTAGGGAGGAGGATATGTGGGTGATGTAAGGAGGAGGATATGTGGGTGATGTAGGGAGGAGAATATGTGGGTGATGAAGGGAGGAGGATATGTGGGTGATGTAGGGATGAGGATATGTGAGTAATTTAGGGAGGAGGATATGTGGGTGATGTAGGGAGGCGGATATGTGGGTGATGTAGGGAGGAGGATATGTGGGTGATGTAGGGAGGAGGATATGTGGGTGATGTAGGGGGGAGGATATGTGGGTGATGTAGGGAGGAGGATATGTGGGTGATGTAGGGGAGGAGATTATGTGGGTGATGAAGGGAGGAGGTATGTGGGTGATGTTGGGGATGAGGATTGTGAGTAATTTAGGGAGGGGATATGTGGGTGATGTGGGAGGGGGTATGTGTGGTGATGTAGGGGGAGGATATGTGGGTGATGTAGGAGGAGGATTTTGTGGGTGATGTGGGAGGAGGATATGTGGGTGATGTTGGGGGAGGATATGTGGGTGATGTAGGGAGGGGATATGTGGGTGATGTAGTGGAGGGAGGATTTGTTTGGTGATGTAGGGGAGGATATGTGGGTGATGTAGGAGGGGATATTGGGTGATGTAGGATGGAGGTTATGTGGGGTGAGTAGGGAGAAGGATTTTGTGGGTGATGTAGGGAGGAGGATATTGTGGGTGATTTAGGGAGGAGGATATGTGGGTGATGTGGTAGGGGATTTGTGGTGTGTAGGGAGTGGATTGTGGGTGTGTGGGAGGAGGATATGTGGGTGATGTTAGGGAGGAGGATTTTGTGGGTGATGTAGGGAGGAGGATATTGTGGTGTGATGTAGGGAGGAGGATAAGTGGGTGATGTAGGGAGGAGATATGTGGGTATGTTTGGGAGGAGGATATGTGGGTTTGATGTAGGGAGGAGGATATGTGGGTGATTGTAGGGAGGAGGATATGTGGGTGTGTGGGAGGAGGATATGTGGGTGATTGTAGGGAGGAGGATATTGTGGGTGATGTAGGGGGGGATATGTGGGTGATGTAGGGAGGAGGATATGTGGGTGATTGTAGGGGAGGAGTGATATGTGGGTGATGATTAGGAGGAGGATATGTGGTGATGTAGCTAGGAGGATATGTGGGTGATGTAGGAAGGAGGATATGTGGGTGATTGTAGGGAGGAGGATTTTGTGGGTGATTTTAGGGAGGAGGATATGTGGGTGATGTAGGGAGGAGGATATGTGGGTGATGTAGGGAGGAGGATATGTGAATAATGTAGGGAGGAGGATTGTGGGTGATGTAGGGAGGGGGATATGTGGATGATGTAGGGAGGAGGTTATGTGGGTGATGTAGGGAGGAGGATATGTGGTGATGTAAGGAGGAGGATATGTGGGTGATGTAGGGAGGGAGATATGTGGGTATGAAGGGAGGAGGATATGTGGGTGATGTAGGGATGGGATATGTGAGGTTGTTTTAGGGAGGAGGATATGTGGGTGATGTAGGGAGGCGGATATGTGGGTGATGTAGGGAGGAGGATATGTGGGTGATGTAGGGAGGGGATATGTGGGTGATGTTTTGGTGGAGGATATGTGGGTGATGTAGGAGGGGATATGTGGGTGATGTAGGAGGAGGATATGTTGGTGATGTAGGGAGGAGGATATGTGGGTGATGTAGGGAGAAGGATATGTGGGTGATGTAGGGAGGAGGATATGTGGGTGATGTAGGAAGGAGGATATGTGGGTGATGTAGGGAGAGGATATGTGGGTGATGTAGGAGGAGGATATGTGGGTGTTGTAGGGGGGAGGATATGTGGGTGATGTTTGGAAGGAGGATTTGTGGGTGATGTAGGAGAGGGTATGTGGGTGATGTAGGGAGGAGGATATTGGGTGATTTTTAGGGAGGAGGATATGTGGATGATGTAGGGAGGAGGATATGTGGGTGATGTAGGAGGAGGATATGTTGGGTGATTTTTAGGGAGGAGGATATGTGGGTGATGTAGGGAGGAGGATATGTGGGTGATGTAGGAGGAGGATTGTGGGTGATGTAGGGAGGAGGATATGTGGGTGATGTAGGGAGGAGGATTGGGGGGTGATGTAGGAGAAGGATATGTGGGTGATTTTAGGGAGGAGGATATGTGGGTGATGTAGGAAGGAGGATATGTGGGTGATGTGGAGAGGATATGTGGGTGATGTAGGGAGGAGGATATGTGGGTGATGTAGGGAGGGGATTATGTGGGTGATGTTTGGAGGAGGATATGTGGGTGATGTAGGGAGGAGGATATGTGGGTGATGTAGGGAGGAGGATATGTGGGTGATGTAGGGAGGAGGTATGTGGGTGTTGTGGGAGGAGGATATGTGGGTGATGTAGGGAGGGATATGTGGGTGTGTAGGGAGGAGGATATGTGGGTGATGTAGGGAGGAGGATATGTTGGATGATGTAGGAGGAGGATATGTGGGTGATGTAGGGAGAGGATATGTGGGTGATTTTAGGGAGGGGGTATTGTGGGTGATGTAGGGAGGGGATACGTGGGTGATGTAGGTAGGAGGATATGTGGGTGATGTAGGAAGGAGGATATGTGGGTGATGTAGGAGGAGGTATGTGGGTGATGTAGGGAGGAGGATATGTGGGTGTTTTAGGGAGGAGGATTGTGGGTGATGTAGGGAGGAGGATATGTGGGTGATGTTGAGGAGGAGGATATGTGGGTGATGTAGGGAGGAGAATATGTGGGTGTTGTAGGAGGAGGATATGTGGGTGATGTAGGAAGGAGATATGTGGGTGATGTAGGAGGAGGGTATGTGGGTGATGGTAGGGAGAGGAAGTTGGGTGTGCAGGGAGGGAAGTTTTGTGGGAGGAGGAGTATTGGTGTGTTGGGATGTGGGAGTGCGGGTGTAGTTGAGAGGAGGGAGTGTGGGTGGTGTTTGGGAGGAGGAATGTGGGTGTGTTGGAGGAGGGAATGTGGGTGGTGTTGGGAGGAGATGGTGTCGGTGGTGTTTGGAGAGGAGTGGGTTGGATGGCTAGGATGTGGGAATGTGGTGGGTGTTTGGATGTGAGAGTGTAGGTGTTTTGGATGTGAGGAGTGGTTAGGTCTTGTTTGGATTTGAGAGTGTTTTACAGTGGTGTTGCGATGTTAAGAGTGTGGTGTGGTTGTTGGGATGTGGGAGTGTGGGTGGTGTTGGGATGTGGGAGTGTGGGTGGTGTTGGGCTGTAAGAGTGTGGGTGGTGTTTGGATGTGAGAGTGTAGGTGGTGTTTGGATGTGAGAGTGTAGGTGGTGTTTGGATGTGAGAGTGTATACAGGTGGTGTTGGGATGTAAGAGTGTGGGTTTACCTGGAGTTTACCTGGAGAGAGTTCGGGGGTAAAGCCCCCGCGGCCGGTCTGTGACCAGGCCTCCTTAGGTCAGTGTCCCAGGATGCGACCCACACCAGTCGACTAACACCCAGGTACCCATTTTACTGATGGGGAACATAGACAACAGGTGGAAAGAAACACGTCCAATGTTTCTACTCTGGCTGGGAATCGAACCCAGGCCCTCACCGTGTGAAGCGAGAGCGTTAACCACCAGGCCACCAGGGTGGTGTTGGGTATTGGAGTGTGGGTTGGTGTTGGGATGTGGGAGTGTATGGTGTTGGATGTGGGAGTGTGGGTGTGTTTGGGGTGTGGGAGTGTGGGTGGTGTTGGGATGTGGAGTGTGGGTGATGTTGGGATGTGGGAATGTGGAGTGGTGTTGGGATGTGGGAGTGTGGGTGATGTTGGGATGTGGGAGTGTGGGTGGTGTTGGGATGTGGGAGTGTGGGTGATGTTGGGATGTGGGAGTGTGGGTGGTGTTGGGATGTGGGAGTGTGGGTGATGTTGGGATGTGGGAGTGTGGGTGGTGTTGGGATGTGGGAGTGTGGGGGGTGTTGGGATATGGGAGTGTGGGTGATGTTGGGATTTGGGAGTGTAGATGGTGTTGGGATGTGGGAGTGTGGGCGGTGTTGGGATATGGGAGTGTGGGTGGTGTTGGGATATGGGAGTGTGGTGGTGTTGGGATGTGGGAGTGTGAGTAGTGTTGGGATGTGGGTGGTGTTGGGATGTGGGAGTGTGGTGGTGTTGGGATGTGGGAGTGGGGTGTGGTGTTGGGATGTGGGAGTGTGGGTAGTGTTGGGATGTGGGAGTGTGGGTGGTGTTGGGATGTGGGAGTGTGGGTGGTGTTGGGATGTGGGAGTGTGGGTGGTGTTGGGATGTGGAAGTGTGGGTAGTGTTGGGATGTGGGAGTGTGGGTGGTGTTGGGATGTGGGAGTGTGGGTGGTGTTGGGATTTGGGAGTGTGGGCGATGTTGGGAGGAAATGGGTGATGTATGGGCCAACAGGCATACCGCAGTGTTCCTCCTTTCTTATATTCTTAAAGAAATACTTCCTCTTGTCCTCTGTTTCCTTACAAAAATTGAACAAAAATATTCCCTCCGCCTTTTAGCATTACGTTTTTATCACATTCAACTAACCTGCTTTACCAAAAACAATTTATACATTTATCCTTCGTCAATCAGTCTTCAGAATAACACTCGAGACGTACCTGGGTTCGTCAACAATGACAAGATCAGCCACTTTGCCGGGTTCTATAGAGCCGTGGGAGTGAGCTTTGCGGAGTGCGTGAGCGGCGTGAAGGGTAGCAGCTGTGAGGGCCTCATTCAGCGACATCTTGAGTATGACACACGCTAAGTGCATCACCACCGGCTTCAACCAAGTAATAACTCTAAATTAGTCTCTAATTAGCATTTATTTATCAATCTTTTTTAACAAAATAACTAGTGGTTTGCGCTTAGTTTTGATTATAATAATTATAATTTTACGTGATAAAGTTTATAGGGAATTATCTTAGGATACGAACCATGGATAAGCAGAAGGCGTTTGGGTTAAAGTCAGTTCCTAGTGCGACAGGCACGCCCCCGTCAATCATTGCACGGGCGGGTGGGGGCTTGAGTCTAAGTATGTGGGCGGTGGTAGGCAACAGAATGCCCACTGTGCCAGCCCGAGCCATGGCAGCTATACCTTCTTCAGATATTTTCTCTAGATGGCTCATGGCTTCTGCGCCGAGGGAAGCTCCCATCTATGAAAGGTAGAAATTTAATACATAAAAAAATAATGTTTTGTATACCCAATATTACTCAAGTTAAATGGGTAACTAAATTAAAAATTATTATTATTATTATTATTATTATTATTATTATTATTATTATTATTATTATTATTATTATTATTATCATCATCCTCCCCTTGATTAAACTGATTTTTAAAGCATCCCATTCACAGGCTCAATGTGAACGGCACCAATGTTCAATAGCTGATACATCACATGAAATGGATAAAATGTTTCATGGGTTAAAGCTGCTTAGGCACAATTTTGCTGGATTCTCTGCAATAACAGGAAAATGCATCATTTGGTCAGTTTTAAACGTTTACTGCTGATGTGTTTCCCTTAAAGGAAAGAATCTCTTGATGTTATGTTGAGTAAGTTATCATGACTATTTTATTAATCAAATTGGTTTCTGTGAAATAATTTGAGAATTTTTCTTCTGGTCAGAAATAAGTCAGTAGTGGTTACTATTTACAAAGGCACTTGTCGATTGACACTTGGACTGTTGTGTGTGGTATATGTTTGACTATTTTCTTTTCCTTAGTTAAACCAGGTTAATGTTCTTTTATGTGTCCCTTCAAGACCATTCTTAAAAGCTGGTTTATCTGACTTAAAGAAAAGTTTGGAATTATTTTACCTGGCTTAGGTCTCAGCTCGCTTTTCTTGGTCAAGAAATTGAAACATTTGAAATACTGATTTTCATGGGAAAATTTCTGAGTGCCGCATCTGATTACCTTCGATCTTTCTATGATCATTACTTGATAATGCGGCTTCAGGTTTAACCAGCTTGTTTATTTTAAGACTTTGGTCTTTTTTTTTTATCTCTGAAAGGTTTGAATTACATTTGGACAGTGTATGTCCTAATTTACATTTTTTTTAATGAAGAAATTTGGATATATGCTTTCTTATGATGACTTATGAATGCCTCTTCTGATTCCTTTCCAATCTTGAACATTAATATTTAACTGCATTATCAATTTACCTCACGCTCTACACTGTTTGACTCGAGTGCGTTGAGGTACAAGTGACCGGGATTGTGGAGTACGGGGCTACCTTCCTTGGATCGCATAGCGACCGAAATACGTCTGGTTTTATAGTGTAATGTATAACATTAACTAAATATTCCTAACTGAGATTTCATCACCTTATTCTAGATCGCTGATGTGAAGTGTCTGAAGAACTTAATATTGTTTGTATATAACCTTAGATAAATTATCTGCAAGATTTTCGTGGTTATAATTATTATATGAAGATAATTTGTATAAATTTTTACACCCATAGTATTAACTTTAATTAACAAAAGTAAAGTGTCGAGGTGACACTGTGCAGGAGACGCACTCAGTAGTCACTACTAACACTCAGATCCTGAGACAAATGGAAGTTTGATATACACACATCGACTGTGATACTCAGAACATGACATGGCTTCCATGTCAAGGTTGCTCAGTCAGAGCAGGGATAAAATATGAGTGCTTGTGTATTCGATGTGTAGGCGCTGTGCCATGATGCTGTTTTAGTGCACTCTAGTAGCAGTGCCACACTGCTCGATAGCCATGTGCAGACTCGCCAAGAATGTTAATTGCACCGGCCTACTTCCCAGCCTACCCCAGAATTTTTTATGCTTTTGTTAGATGTATATACATAACTTAAAGTTTCGCAGGTCATGATTAGAATTAGCCTCGTAGTTAATAAACAATATTTGTAATTTAGCTGTCTGTCACACTGTAGACCAGCTGCTTATCTCTTATTCCTCTTCAAAGACATGAGATGACTGATGACTGACCTGATTCCTGGACACGCTAGTCCCCATATCTGCAGACCAGGAAGATATTTTAACTAAATATTGTATTTTGAATTTCGAAATGCACCATCCTTTTTTCACCCATACGCTACATAACTGGTTGACTTTTTTATATATACATTCATCCAGAGCGGTATTATGTACCAGGACATTTTTATTCACTACATGATATGAGGCAGATGTTACAATTTTTTTAGCCCGGTAGTTAATATGAAATAATCATTTGAGACTTATATATGCATTATTGGCCATTACTACTGTTGGTTAAGTCCTTATTGTGTAGAGAGTGAGTATTTTGCATGGATGTCAATGACTGTGTCAAGGGTTGTTACCTCCTGAAATATAAACCTTTTTTAAGTTCCTCTTATTTCTATATTATTTAACATAAATAACTATTTCACTTTGCATTATATAAATAGTAGACTTTCTCTACACATGGATGGTTTTGGTCGAAGTAATAATACACAGCCTGAGAGATAAGTACGATCATGCGACTCCACCGTCCTGGTTAGTGAGGGAACTCAGTGTGTCTGCTGTTTGGATTGAGACACTGCCCTATCACTGCGTCAGTTGATGATATTATTGACTGAACCTAACCAAATATCCATCATGCCAGCTAAGTTTCAACAGACTATTTGGAAATCTTATTAATAACTTGGTATCAGGTTAAGCCAACCGTCTGTAGGGCAAATTATTATTAGATATTAATAATATGATTTGTTAAAATAAAATCATCTTTAAAACTAGATATTTCATTTACCTTGATTTGTATTAATATTTTCCTATATCATATCCTTTTAAAGTACTTATGCACTATGAGGGCAATGTACCATTTTAATCTGTTTGTACAAACAATGGAGAAAATGGTGTTTGTAACAATAGATGGAGCTCTTATTTTTATTTTTAATTTTATTTTTCTATATATATCTGGATGTGAAATTTAAAAAAAATGGTAGTTGATGACAAAACTCTGTATATGATGTAGAAAACTCATACTTATTCATACCTCTGCTGCATTCAAACGATGGAGTTCCTCTGCATGGAAATTGATCATAAGTCCCTCACGATGTCCAGCCTCCAAAATGCGTCGTGACTGGTCTACGTCGAAAACGCCCTGCTCACAGAAAACGTCGATGCTATCAACCTGCAACTGATGAGATAACTAATGTTGGTCTATAGTTTTAGTCTCCAGAATATATGCTTTGTGATATTAATCTTAGAGGTTAATAACCCAGAATAACCCATGACAACCAGTGTGGCTTCTTTCCGTTGGGATTGAGAGTCGACTAACATCCTGGTACCTATTATCTGTTAAGTAAACAGAGGCAGCAGGTGAAAGAGAGTTCCTCATCTGTTTTTCACTCACGCATGATTCGAACCCAGGTCTTTTACACTGCGAGTCGATCACTACCACTTAACTGATGCAGCTTTATTACGGTTGGGCCTCAGAGCTAGACACATCTGTTGGGGTTAATTGAATTAGCTAACACATGAACAAAGTCTGATTCTAAGATAGACACAAAACTCGGTTGTCACCGCCCTCTCATTGACTAACATTCTTATACTGTTTATCCTGATAAATCTAGGCAACAATGCAACAGATTTACTTAACATTACCTCTCCAGCGACTATGCCGGCTTTGACAGCTGGCAGTTGCTCTTCTATTACTAGTCTTGTTGCCTCCTCCGCCGTCAGGCCCCTGGGGATAAAATTGCCTCTTATTACTGAAGTTTTAAAGTCTTTCCATCAACATTAATTCTCATAGTGAAGCTATGTTTGTATGTGTTCATATGTGGGTGCAAATAATGATGTAGTTTATATCGCTAGGAATGGTCATGTGAGCAAGCTTTACTGCACTCACGAGGTGAAATTAGCTGTCTTATATATACAGGTAATTTAAGGTAGCTATACAAAGCATGTCGCAAAGTCTCAAGAGATGGTGTGAGAAGTGTTTGAAAGATTACTCCTGCAGCGGTATAATTTTCACTCATATTTTTACATTACCTGTGGAATTTTTTTTATAATTTTACTTAATTTAGAGTATATAAATGTAAATAGATAATGTGTGTAAAATTGTGACACTGATTTGACCTTCGAGAAATTTCGAGGAAGGGGGGAACCAGCATTGCGGAGGAATACATGGGGAGGAAAGACACTCACAATATGACGATGTAGTATTGGTTGTACAACTGTTGATTAATCGGTGTCATCGAGGCCGAAAATGGGTTTTTCGGTCGGAATCAAGAATTAGAAATTTCATTAACATCCACTGCAATGAAATATGGACAAAATTTCATATGAAGCATCTATAATATGGCTGTACAGTGAGAATTAGGGAGACGCAAATCGTCATGGATTCAGCCCACCCAAGTATGTACACCATTAGCTCTTTCGTTCAGATTTCTCGCTGGCCAGTGTAGGGTCTATTTGTTAGAAAGGTGTTAGGTTGTGATCCATCAACAATAATTATGTGGTAAGTCCTTTATGAAGGTTGTGTTTATAATATTGAAGATATGCAATCTCTTGTTATAAACTTAATACTAATGCTATGGACCCAACCCTTCTTGTTTAATTTCAGTCAAAACCCAATGATACAGTCCACATATTCTAATTTACCAGTGTTATTGATTTTAATTTTATAATTTTGTGTAATTATTATTGGTCCAACTTTGTGTGAGTGGGGTTTGGAATGTGTGGGCATCTAGGGAGGTGAAGTGTTGTGACCCTCTGTAACTGATGTCCCACCTAGCTCTGAGGTGCAACTAACCTCATTGAGCGCTATTTTAGCTGTACCTGGCCCAAATTATATGCATATGAGAATTCAGGTTAATGCCTGTGAACTGCATAATTTCTCACATATAATAAGTTGCTGGTCCTTCGAACCAGATTTGATCAGTGAAGATCTAATTAAATTAAATAAATAATTGTGACTTGACTGAAAGAAGTGGTTAGCTGGGTCTACATAAACTGAAAATAATAAATGTAATTAATGTTTCTAATAATATAAATTTGTATTTGCTAAGCCCAGATGGGGCTAGGATTATAATTATCATACACATTTTTAATATTGATGTGTAACTGCCAAATAATTGTGAATTTGCTTAGCCCAGAGCGGCTACGAATTATAGCTGTGTAATCAATAATTAATTTGCTAAGGCAGAAATATTTGACTAGCATATATTTAATATATATTGTAATAATTATATAGTGTGTCATTGTATAATTTGTGCAATCAGTGTTTTATTATTTGGTCTGATATATAAGGAACCATAGATGGATCTAATCCAGTTAATGCAAATGGTAAACCCATGGGTGTCAAAGCTATGAAAACATCTTTAAATACTAGAAAAGGGTACATGATTAGAGCTTATGATAAATGTTTATAATTAATGTCAGGAAATTGTGAATAGGATCATTTTGAAGTTGCATTTGGATTCATTAGTGAAAAGTTGTTTTATATAGAATATGAAGGAGATCTCCTGGTAAATTGTGCAGATGACAAAGAAAGGGAATTAATAATTGATCAAGAGTATGACCCAGAAGAGAAAATACTATCTTGTAAAAGTAGGGCATTAAATAAATTAAAATGTGTGAATGATACAGTTAACCAACCTACTAATGTAAATAAAATGTCAGTGCCGAAACTACCAGAACTATGTCTACCTATATTTAATCCAGTACACAGCTGGGAAGAATTCTGGTGTATATTTAAGGCTACTGTACATAATAGGAATTATCTTGCAGATGTTACTAAATTATTTTACCTTGAAGGACAGGTGAAGGGCGATGCAGTTGATTTGTTAGAGGTCACCTATGGTAATTTAGAGCAAAGTAGGTTGGACCTAGTAAATGCCGTGGTTAATTTAAGAACTCCAGAGCACAATTATCCAGATTTACAACAATTTAGGGTCAAATTGGAAAGCACTCTTAAATCTTTGGGTAATAGGTTTGATATGTGTGAATCAGACTGCAGAACAAATTGGCCAGCAAGACTATAGAGTGATTATCTAATAAATACCACAAAGGTTATTTCTCTCCGGAGGAAATAAGAGTAGGCCTTCAAGAATTAATTGTCCAACTACAGACTATTCAACCAAATAATTCTAAAAATGTACCACATGATGACTCTGATGTATCTGTAAGGTCTCATAAAAGGAAAAAATATCCTAATGTTAATAATCATCATAATTCATCCCATAATAAAAGTTGTATTGGATTATATCAAGTGGCAGGAACCAGGAATATAGGTTCTCCGCATCAAATTATCAAAATCAAATCAAATCAAATCAAAGTTTATTCCCTATAAGGATTACAATGCAGGGTTTACAGATTTTGGTTATTGTGTGGTTTACATGTAGTAAAATATTAATTACAGAGGGGGCCACTAGAACACCTAGCATGGCTAGGCATTTCGGGCAAACTTAGACTAATTCTTAACCCTAAATTATAACAAATTGTGGAGTAAGTTGACTAAATACTAAGTGACTAAATACTAAGTGACAAATACTAGTTTGTGAATTTAGAAATGTGAATGCTTTTGTTTTGGCACAATACATAGTTTCTATATTGGAGTATCACAGGCAAACTTATGACTAGTTAGGAATCATTATTTTAAGATTAGGATACGTATTTCTGTGCTTATAGTCAAATGGGTGAGTGAGTGAGTGAGTGTAAGTGTGGACCACCAGGTGGTTCTTATGTAGTTAGTTGATGGGGTGTATCAGGGAGATAAGATGTTTTCTAACAGTAGTTTTGAAGGTGATGAATGTGTCTGCAGTTCTAGAGTTTTCAGGTAGGGTGTTCCAGATTTTAGGGCCTTTGACATACATTGAATTTTTGTAAAGGTTTAGTCGGACACGGGGGATGTCGTAGAGATGTTTGTGTCTGGTGTTATGCCTGTGGGTCCTGTCACAACTATCAAGAAAGCATTTTAGGTCAAGGTTAATATTGGAATTTAAGGTCCTGTAGATGTAGATTGCACAGTAGTAAGTGTGGATGTACTGAACAGGGAGTAAGTTTAGATCTATGAAGAGTGGGGGGGAGGGGTTGCCAGGGATGGAATTTAGTGATTATTCTTATTGCAGCTTTTTGTTGAGTTATTATTGGCTTTAGGTGTATTGCTGCAGTTGAACCCCAAGCACAGATAGCGTAGATGAGGTATGGATAAATGAGTGAATGGTATAGTGTGAGAAGAGCAGTTTGCGGCATTTAGTATCGTATCTTGGAGAGGATCCCAACTGTTTTGGATACTTTTTTTGATATGTGTTGGATATGGGTGCTGAAATTCAGGTTGTTGTCGAGGTATAGGCCTAGGAATTTGCCCTCATTATGTCGGGCAATTAGAGTGCTGTCGATCTTAATGTTAAGTTGCGCAGCACCTGCTCTGCTACCAAACATAATATAGTAGGTTTTGTCAGTGTTAAGTGTAAGTTTATTGGCTGTCATCCAAGTTGATATTTTGAGCAGCTCCTCATTAACAATGGTGTTGAGGGTGGCAAGATTAGGGTGAGAGATGACATAAGTTGTGTCGTCAGCAAAGAGAATGGGTTTCAGGTGTTGGGATACGTTTGGAAGATCATTGATGTAAATGAGGAAGAGCAGGGGTCCAAGGACACTTCCCTGCGGAACTCCAGTATCAAGTGGCCGTGTTTATGATGCTGTGTCTTTAATGGTGACATAATGATACCTATTAGTAAGGTAGGATTTGAAATATGCAAGCGCATGGCCTCTTATACCATAATGGTCAAGTTTGTGGAGTAGGATGCCGTGGTCAACTGTGTCAAAAGCTTTTCTTAGGTCAATAAAAATTCCTAAGGGATATTCCTTATTTTCCAATGCTGTGTAAAGCAGATCTAGCATTTTTATGATTGCATCATTAGTGCTTTTATTTTTCCTGAATCCAAATTGGCAGGGGTTGAGTATGTTTTGTGCCGTTATAGATGAATAGTCTCCTGTGCACGAGTTTCTCAAGGATTTTGGATAGCAATGGTAAGTTTGATATTGGCCTATAGTTGTTTACATCTGTAGGGTCACCACCTTTATGTATAGAGTAATAAGTACTTTAATAAGAGCGGCCTGGCTAATAATGGGCATGTGAAGCCTAAAGGAATTGTCTTTTTTAAGTCAAGGTGCTCATTTTTCAGAGAACTGTAATGCTTATGATTCTTGGGATGTTAGAGTAGAAAAATTAAAAGAACTTAACAGATGTATCAGATGTTTAGGCAGTCATAATGTGAAGGATTCCTATACTAAATTAAACAATTGCTGTCAGTGCCATAAGGTAGGAATCATATTGTAATGTGTAAGGGTTTACATAATAATAGTAATAATAATAATAATAATAATAATAATAATAATAATAATAATGATGACCCTGGCACAGCTGTTACTAATGTCAAAATAGCAGCTAATGCATTGTTGGATCAAGGTTCCCAATGTGCATTTATAAAATTACCAATAGAGTGAAATTTCAATTAAGTATTTTTAAAAGTTAAAGCTGTACCTGGGCACAGAGTGGGCACCACAGAAAGTGGAAGAGATTGTGAGGTTGGCGTGAGGGCGAGCCTTCTCTAACACTCTCAGCATCTTCACTTCAGTCTGTACGTCGAGGCCGTAGCCACTCTTACACTCCACCAAAGTCGTGCCTATACGAAGATATAACAACATTCTTCGATAAGCAAATTATAACACTTACGAACAGTGAGATGAATGATTTTCACTCCAGTACATTTAATCAAAAGTTTACTTAAAGATTATTATAAAATTATTTCAAATGTTAAAACAGAGAAATACGAATATTAGTTGTGGAGTAACTGTCAAAATTAATTGATTTTTAAGCCACAAACTTTGTAAAAAATCTATCTAGACTGATCAAATCTTGGAATGAAGAAGAATAATACGACTTTAAACACGGTTGGAAAAATTTTAATGGTATAAATAAAACAGTGTAGTGTTTATGTTCCATTGAAAACTACATATAACAAACTTAAATAGTGGAACATGATAAATATAGTTGCCTAAGAAAGAATGAGTATTCATATTAGGCTCAAAGTAAATATAAACAAAGTAGGCGAGAAGAATACTTCCATTCTGAAGCTTAATGGTTATAATCATAACCATAATTTTCAAATTATTGGATGGGTAAGCCAGCGGAATGCTTCTGTCAGATGGCCAAAAGCTCTAGTTTTGGGTCATTATATGACTAAGACCCGGTTAGCAAACATCCTGTTTCCTGACTAACCTTAAATAACCTAACCTTCCGCTAGTAGTCTACGCTCACCAATGACGTCACCTGTGGCTGCTTCATTTCTGTTCTAGTAAGCAAGGTCTGGCCGCACGCTTGTGCATTAGGCTTTAAGAACTGACCACCTCCTACCAAGGCTATGATCACGTCAAAACTGCTGCTACAGGCGAGTATAACACTCCAGTGACGTGTTCGCTTATATATGAAGAAGTCTGTGTAGTCAAGACGCACTGTACACGATCAATAATAAACAAAATTCAATGAGAAAAGAAGTTTATACTTCTTAGAGCCTATAATTATTAGTTATATCTTGTAAAAACAACGAAGCAAATTTTAAATTATCTTTTAGTTAAATGAGAAACAAAAGTTATGTATATTTTAATTCAATAGAAAAAAAATCTGAATTTATTTCGATTATTTCAATTAGTAACCCTTGAGGCTTATTAACCCCGGAGAACTCAGGATAATTCAAGAATGACAGTGTGGCTAATTTTCACTGGGAATTTTAGGATCTTCCCTAATCTGAGACCCGCAGAAGTCGACTGTAAATAAATACTAAGGCACTGATTTACTACCTCATTTTTTATGAGATTACCCATTCAGATCATGTCTGAGTCATGTTGTGAGGCTAGATTACCTGCCCGAGTTATGTAGTGGAGTGACCTAACTTGTCCAGGTCATGCATTAGTCATGTGGTGGAGTGAGATTACCTGCCCTGATTATGCGGTGGAGTGACATTACCTGCCCGGGTCATGCGCTGGAGGCGAGGCAGGAGCAGCTTGAGCAGGTCGTCCTCTGTGGCAGCTCTGGTGTGTTCTACAGTGAAGTTAATGCCGCCTCCTGCGTCGTGCACCTCCATGTAACTCGCCCCAGCAAGCTTAGTCATCACAAGAGACAAGATTATTTGTAAATAAGGTACCAAGAGAGCTTGTGATACTGTAGATCAAAGACAATAACACTAGCAGTATAATAATAGTATACAGTACCGACAAACAAATGAATAAGACACAGTGCAACACTTTGGTATCTTAATTTCCGAAAGAGCTAACAAATTACATTATTTGCCTTCATATATAACTAAAAATACTTTTTTTCATCTTTACTCACTCTACTTGCTGAATACCATGAAAAGCGAACGACGTGCATTTCAGAACTTTTACCAGGAATTTGGCACTGAATGTCCTAGTTCCTTATACGCTATTTCCGATAACACAGATGAGTGAAATTCGTTACTCTACCGCATCACGAAAACGAATGTAAAAATTATTTTTTTATTATTATCACACTGGCCGATTCCCACCAAGGCAGGGTGGCCCGAAAAAGAAAAACTTTCACCATCATTCACTCCATCACTGTCTTGCCAGAAGGGTGCTTTACCCTACAGTTTTTAAACTGCAACATTAACACCCCTCCTTCAGAGTGCAGGCACTGTACTTCCCATCTCCAGGACTCAAGTCCGGCCTGCCGGTTTCCCTGAACCCCTTCATAAATGTTACTTTGCTCACACTCCAACAGCACGTCAAGTATTAAAAACCATTCGTCTCCATTCACTCCTATCAAACACGCTCACGCATGCCTGCTGGAAGTCCAAGCCCCTCGCACACAAAACCTCCTTTACCCCCTCCCTCCAACCTTTCCTAGGCCGACCCCTACCCCGCCTTCCTTCCACTACAGACTAATACACACTTGAAGTCACTCTGTTTCGCTCCATTCTCTCTACATGTCCGAACCACCTCAACAACCCTTCCTCAGCCCTCTGGACAACAGTTTTGGTAATCCCGCACCTCCTCCTAACTTCCAAACTACGAATTCTCTGCATTATATTCACACCACACATTGCCCTCAGACATGACATCTCCACTGCCTCCAGCCTTCTCCTCGCTGCAACATTCATCACCCATACTTCACACCCATATAAGAGCGTTGGTAAAACTATACTCTCATACATTCCCCTCTTTGCCTCCAAGGAGAAAGTTCTTTGTCTCCACAGATTCCTAAGTGCACCACTCACCCTTTTCCCCTCATCAATTCAATAATTCACCTCATCTTTCATAGACCCATCCGCTGACACGTCCACTCCCAAATATCTGAATACATTCACCTCCTCCATACTCTCTCCCTCCAATCTGATATCCAATCTTTCATCACCTAATCTTTTTGTTATCCTCATAACCTTACTCTTTCCTGTATTCACTTTTAATTTTCTTCTTTTGCACACCCTACCAAATTCATCCACCAATCTCTGCAACTTCTCTTCAGAATCTCCCAAGAGCACAGTGTCATCAGCAAAGAGCAACTGTGACAACTCCCACTTTATGTGTGATTCTTTATCTTTTAACTCCACGCCTCTTGCCAAGACCCTCGCATTTACTTCTCTTACAACCCCATCTATAAATATATTAAACAACCATGGTGACATCACACATCCTTGTCTAAGGCCTACTTTTACTGGGAAATAATTTCCCTCTTTCCTACATACTCTAACTTGAGCCTCACTATCCTCGTAAAAACTCTTCACTGCTTTCAGTAACCTACCTCCTACACCATACACCTGCAACATCTGCCACATTGCCCCCCTATCCACCCTGTCATACGCCTTTTCCAAATCCATAAATGCCACAAAGACCTCTTTAGCCTTATCTAAATACTGTTCACTTATATGTTTCACTGTAAACACCTGGTCCACACACCCCCTACCTTTCCTAAAGCCTCCTTGTTCATCTGCTATCCTATTCTCCGTCTTACTCTTAATTCTTTCAATAATAACTCTACCATACACTTTACCAGGTATACTCAACAGACTTATCCCCCTATAATTTTTGCACTCTCTTTTGTCCCCTTAACCTTTATACAAAGGAACTATGCACGCTCTCTACCAATCCCTAGGTACCTTACCCTCTTCCATACATTTATTAAATAATTGCACCAACCACTCCAAAACTATATCCCCACCTGCTTTTAACATTTCTATCTTTATCCCATCAATCCCAGCTGCCTTACCCCCTTTCATTCCACCTACTGCCTCACGAACTTCCCCCACACTCACAACTGGCTCTTCCTCACTCCTAAAAGATGTTATTTCCCTCCTTGCCCTATACACGAAATCACGCTTCCCTATCTTCATCAACATTTAACAATTCCTCAAAATATTCCCTCCTCTTCCCAATACCTCTAACTCTCCATTTAATAAACTCTCCTCTCCTTTTTTTAACTGACAAATTCATTTGTTCTCTAGGTTTCCCTTAGCTTTTTTAATCTCACTCCAAAACTTTTTCTTATTTTAAACAAAATTTTTTGATAACATCTCACCCCTCTCTCATTTGCTCTCTTTTTACACTGCTTCACCAATTTTCTTAACCTCTCTCTTTTTCTCCATATACTCTTCCTCCTTGCATCCCTTCTACTTTGTAAAAACTTCTCATATGCTAACTTTTTCTCCCTTACAATTCTCTTTACATCTTCAATTCCACCAATCGCTCCTCTTCCCTCCCGCACCCCTTTCCTGTAACCACAAACTTCTGCTGAACACTCTAACACTACTTTTTTAACCTACTCCAAAACCTCTTCGACCTCATTGCCTATCCTGTCATTAGCCCATCTATCCTCCAATAGCTGTTTATATCTTACCCTAACTGCCTCCTCTTTTAGTTTATAAACCTTCACCTCTCTCTTCCCTGATGCTTCTATTCTCCTTGTATCCCATCTACCTTTTACTCTCAGTGTAGCTACAACTAGAAAGTGATCTGATATATCTGTGGCCTCTCTATAAACATGTACATCCTGAAGTCTACTCAAAAAGTCTTTTATAACCAATACATAATCCAAAAAACTACTGTCATTTCGCCCCACTCATATCTTGTATACTTATTTATCCTATTTTTCTTTAAAAAATGTATTACCTATAACTAAACCCCTTTCTATACAAAGTTCAATCAAAGGGCTCCCATTATCATTTACACCTGGCACCCCAAACTTACCTACCACAATTACTCTCTCACTTGGTTCAAAGGCTCCTACACATTCACTTAACATCTCCCAAAATCTCTCTCTCTCCTCTACATTCCTCTCTTCTCCAGGTGCATACACGCTTATTATGACCCACTTTTCGCATCCAACCTTTACTTTAATCCACATAATTCTTGAATTCACGCATTCATATTCTCTTTTCTCCTTCCATAACTGATCCTTCACATTACTGCTACCCTTCCTTTGCTCTAAAATCTCTCAGATACTCCAGATTTAATCCCCTTTATTTCCCCCCACTGAAACTCCCCTACCCCCTTCAGCTTTGTTTCGCTTAGGGCCAGGACATCCAACTTCTTTTCATTCATAACATCAGCAATCATCTGTTTCTTGTCATCCGCACTACATCCACGCTCATTCAAGCATCCCAGTTTTATAAAGTTTTTCTTCTTCTCTTTTTTAGTAAATGTCTACAGGAGAAGGGGTTACTAGCCCATTGCTCCCGGCAATTTAGTCGCCTCATACGACACGCATGGCTTACGGAGGAAAGATTCTTTTCCACTTCCCCATGGACAATAGAAGAAATAAAGAAGAACAAGAGCTATTTAGAAAGGGGAGAAAAACCCAGATGTATGTATATATATATGCATGTGCGTGTCTGTGAAGTGTGACCAAAGTGTAAGTAGGAGTAGCAAGATATCCCTGTTATCTAGCGTGTTTATGAGACAGAAAAAGAAACCAGCAATCCTACCATCATGCAAAACAGTTACAGGTTTGTTTCACAGTCATCTGGCAGGACGGCAGTACTTCCCTGGGTGGTTGCTGTCTACCAACCTATAAGTGATTAAAAACATTTGCAGAAGATTTTACAATAGTCTGATATTACGCACACAGGTAATGAATGGCCTGTGAGACCTGGTAGTAATTGGAATATGGAGCAAGCAAAACTCAGCAGTAGACTATAATGCATATTTGCCTTCACTCACTATATACAGGTAGGTACAATATGTACAGATAGAATAATAAGTGTACACCTCAGTGACAGATGCTAAAGCAGAAACTAGAGTGCACCGTACTCTACCAGCAGGTAGGCAAATCTGCCAATGCTTACTCTAAGTTAATCCCGTTGCTTCAGCTTTGGCGGCTTTGCCTGTGATCGATCATTAAACCCTTAGCACCCTGTTGGCTGGTTGGGAGGGAACCTACATGGGAGTGTGACATACGCCGTATAAATTGTAACGTATTCTCTGCATGCCACAGCTGACATAAAATAAATTGTAATACTTCGATGGAGCTTGAGGTGTGCAATGTTAATGTGGTTGGAGCTCATGGGAGCGTGTTGGGATGTTACCTGATTAAGAGCCATTGGTTATCCATATTAAACTTACATGTGCTAGTGGCTTTGGTGTTTCAAATTTCATTGAGTAATGATCAGGTGACATCTCAGTTTTACACTGTTAACGTGATTTTCGCCTCCAGCTGCATCTGACCCACACATACTTCTACCTCTCCTTTCAGAAATATTAATACATGTACTTTGTATGACTTGAAGGAAAATTAGAGTTTTTCCTAGAGATAAGTTCGTTCAGCATATTTGTGTCTTTCTTTAAATATTTATCTGGGTCATGCCCTTCAGTCAGGTATCGTGATGCTAAGAACTCTGTGTTGTGCTTCTAGGCGACACGCGTCTTCCTCCAGAATAAATTACAGCCTAGCATTGTTTCTCGGTCTAATGTGAGAACTGGTTACAATTAGGTACAAACGTTTTGCTATAGTTTAAGATTCTGCTAGCGTGTTTGTGATGTTTTAATTATTGTATGAATATCATGTGATGTGTATGCCACAGTAGCTACGTGTAGTGGATAGTAAAACTACAGATACATTTTAAATGGTTTCGACAATATTCTAAACCCCAAAACACTGTCAACTGATGAAAGACATTTGATCCTCGGAAAGAGTCATATTATAATAATTACTAATAATTGTTCAAATGAGTAAGTATCTTCACAATGGTTTCGACTTTCACATCCAAATATAAAATTTTCAGAAAATATCAACCTTTTCCAAAACTTTCAGACAAGTTGCATCTTAGTGAGAGCCATAAACAATTACAGTCACTTTTTGATCTCTTAATTGAATTAAGAAAAGTGTTGAGAACCGTTAATTAAATAGTCTCATCAAGGTGGATTTTAATTATATATTATTATGGATACTAATAATACTTTTGATACTGAACCTTGGTTCAGGAAAGAGGCTTTTCCTGCCATTTATGGTAATCAATTTTATGGTAATTCATTTTCTTGGAATTCAAACCTTATTTATAGAGCTGTTATTGAATTTCTGATGCAATGTAGATAACTCATAGCTCCATAATTCTATTCTCAAAAAATATCAGAATTGCATTTAGTTTTTGTTTTATGGCTGTAATAAATATTTTAGGGGTGTATTTTTTTCCAAAATTTTTGGATATTTTAATGAAAGTGATCATCAATGAGCAATATATGAATAAAGGAGCAAATATGGTATCTTAGGAACCATTTTTATTTTTCTATTAACTTACATGAAAATGGGCCAGACAAATATTTTTGGTAGTGGATTTGGGTTTGAGAAAGACCAGCCTAGTATGGACCAGTAGGCCTGATATAGTGTTCCTCCTTATGTTCTTAAATTTGCAAAATTTACGTCAGGACCATTGCTAACAAGCATGCAATTTTTCATAAAGCTGAGGCTACTGAAGGAGGAGCTTTTAATCACTGACCTGACCCCTTTTAGGACATGTCACGTGTAAGAACTGACAAGGAAACAAATGGTAATGTGTTAACTGCTTAAAATGCAACCTATTAACCAGTGGGTCATACATACTTTCATGGCAAACTCATGGACACGGTCGCCAGCCCACACAGGGTGAGTGTGAGCATCCACCAGCCCAGGTACAACAGAGCGCTTACGGGCATTCACCACTGTCTCCCATACAGCGTCTGGGAACTGAGCTTCCACCTCTTTGTCCAGACCCACTGCAGCGATCAGCCCGTCCCTGGTGGTGGACAAATTGATAAAAAAAAAGATCTAGAGTTATTGCCTACTTAAAATTAACTTTGATACAGATAGTTTCCAGATTATCAGACGTAAATCGCAAAATTTCCACTTGAATCTCTCGCGTATTATCACAGCTCACGCTGTAATTCATAGACACTTAGATCTAACCTTTATTAAACATGTCTTCCTTAGCGTGAGCTTTATCGGATTACATAGAGAAGTAGCACTCCTGTCCCTTGAGGGTTAGGAGTATGGTATGGACAGGTGAATGAGATCAAGGTGGCCCGTGGCGTGATAAGCAACGCTCTTGCTTCACACGCTGTGTTCGTGGTTCAATCCTCGGCAAGGGTGAAAACATTGGGCGTGTTTCCTTACGCCTGTTGTCCCGTTCATCTAGCAAGCAAGTAGGTACCTGGGTGTTAGTCGACCACCTTTCTAAGGTTATCCTGGATGGCTAACCCTCCGGGAATTAAAATCTTATCTTAGGTTAACGGTGGAGGTCGAAAAAATTATCAGTCTTTCTTATAATAACTATTGGTCATTATAAGGAAGAGTAACTTGATAAAACTCCCATTAAGCAAACCTTTGCTTTGAAAAAAGCTCTCTATGTGTTTGATTTATTACTCATCTGTTTACTGCCTATCTTTTATACAAGGCTCACACTGCCTACTAATTCAGTGTACATACCTCTTTCATAATTATTCATTCGCTCCATTAAACCCAGTCAATAGGATAACATAACTGTCTTCATAACATGCCAACCAGCACAGCTTCAGGGATGGAAAATCCTGAGTCACATACCAACCGGAGTTCTAAGACAAACAGGAGAGAGAGAGAGGGGGGGGGATGGGTACTTTGCATTTTCTTGGCCTGTTAGAAGGCTTTTGACGCAATACCACACGAGACTGGTGCAAAAGCTAAAGGAGAAGGAATTAGAGGAAAAGCACTATAATGGATCAGGGAATACCTCACAGGAAGGAAACAAATTATGGTCCCTTACGAGGTGTCGGAATGAGGGCATGTTTCGAGTCGGGTTTCACAAGAATCAGTTCTAGGGCCAGTGCTGTTTCTTGAATACGCGAATAACATGAGGTGTTCCTGTTCACAGATGATATGCAACTAATGAGGAGAGTGCAAACGGACAAAGACCAGGAAAAGCTACAAAGGGATTTGGATATGCTTTTAGCCTGGTCCGACAAATGGCTCTTCGAGTTTAACCCCACCAAGTGCAGGTTATGAAGCTAGGGGAAGGACAAAGAAGATTGCACGCGGAGTACAGGCTTGGGAGACAAAAGCTTCGAACCTCACTCGAGAAGGATCTTGGAGCGACTGTCATACTGAGCACTTTCCCTGAGGTGCACTTCAACTAAATAGCTCCTGCAGAATATGCATGTCTGTAAACCTAAGAAAAGCATTTTGATATCCAAGATAAAAGTCATTCACGACATTGTACACTGTGTACGTCAGGCCCATACCGGAATATGCAGTATCACTATGAAACTCCCACTTGGTCAAGCATTTGGGGAAAGAGGAGAGGTTTACAACAAGACTAGTCCCAGAGCTAAGAGGTATGTCCCATGAGGAGAGGTTAGAGAACAGAAGGTTTAGAGGAATATGATAACGTGCAACATATTAAGATGAGCTGACAAGGTGAATAGGAACAGAATGTTTGGGAGATGGGAAACTGTGACTCAGATGAGTCATGGGGATGTTAGGGTGGTCAGGAAGTGAAATATCTGGAGAGTGAAGTAGTAGACGTGGGATCCATACATAGCTTTAAGATGAGGTACAATAAGGCTGTTGAAGTCGGAAGAGAGTAGACATAGTAGTAACCAGTTAAAACGTGGGGACAGGAGCTGTGAATTGACCCCTGCAACTATATATATAAGTGAGAAGCACAGAAATGACAACCCATGACAACTAGTAGAAGGGAAGTCGAGGACGAAGACTGAGGACAAGAGTGACTGAGAAGGAACTGACGTTAGCAGAGCTTAAGTGTAAAATGGAACAAGAGTCGGAAAAAAAAGTTTAGGGATTTTTGCAAAACGATGGAGAAGGTAGCAACCCCCCCCCCCCGTCACCCACACAGACTCCCTTCCATCTCTAGCCCCCCTTACCCACACACAGACTCCCTTCAGTCCTTAGCCTCCCTCACCCACACACACTCCCGTCAATCCCTAGCCTCCCTCAGCCACACACAGACTCCCGTAAATCCCTAGCCTCCCTCACTCACGCACAGACTCCCTTCAATCCCTAGCCTCCCTCACCCACACACAGACTCCCTTCAATTCCCAGCCTCCCTCACCCACACACAGACTCCCCTTAATCCATAGCCCCCCTTACCCACACACAGACTCCTGTAAATCCCTAGCCTCCCTCACTCACGCACAGACTCCCTTCAATCCCTAGCCTCCCTCACCCACACACAGACTCCCTTCAATTCCCAGCCTCCCTCACCCACACACAGACTCCCCTTAATCCATAGCCCCCCTTACCCACACACAGACTCCTGTAAATCCCTAGCCTCCCTCACTCACGCACAGACTCCCTTCGATCCCTAGCCTCCCTCACCCACACACAGACTCCCTTCAATTCCCAGCCTCCCTCACCCACACACAAACTCCCTTCAATACCTAGCCCCCTCACCCACACACAGACTCCCTTCAGTCCCTAGCCTCCCTCACCCACACACAGACTCCCCTTAATCCATAGCCTCCCTTACCCACACACAGACTCCCCTTAATCCATAGCCCCCCTTACCCACACACAGACTCCCCTCAATCCCTAGCCCCCCTCACCCACACACAGACTCACTTCAATCCCTAGCCCCCCTCACCCACACACAGACTCCCCTCAATCCGTAGCCCCTCCCTCACCCACACACAGACTCCCTTCAACCCCTAGCCCCCTCACCCACACACAGACTCCCCTCAATCTCTAGCCCCTCCCTCACCCACACACAGACTCCCTCAAGCCCTAGCCCCCTCACCCACACACAGACTCCCCTCAATCCCTAGCCACTCCCTCACCCACACACAGACTCCCCTCAATCCCTACCCCCCTCACCCACACACAGACTCCCCTCAATCCCTAGCTCTCCTCAACCCACACACAGACTCCCCTCAATCCCTAGCCCCCTTCACCCACATACAGACTCCCCTCAAGCCCTAGCTCCCCTCACCCACACACAGACTTCCCTCAATCCCTAGCCCCCTTAACCCACACACAGACTCCCTTCAAGCCCTAGCTCCCCTCACCCACACACAGACTCCCCTCAATCCCTAGCCACTCCCTCACCCACACACAGACTCCCCTCAATCCCTAGCCCCCCTCACCCACACACAGACTCCCCTCAATCCCTAGCTCTCCCTCACCCACACACAGACTCCCCTCAATCCCTAGCCCCCTTCACCCACACACAGACTCCCCTCAAGCCCTAGCTCCCCTCACCCACACACAGACTCCCCTCAAGCCCTAGCCCCCTCACCCACACACAGACTCCTCTCAATCACTAACCCCCCTCACCAACACACAGACTCCCCTCAAGCTCTAGCCCCCCTCACCCACACACAGACCCCTCTCAATCCCTAGCCCCCTCACCCACACACAGACTCCCCTCAATCCCTAGCCCCCCTCACCCACACACAGACTCCTCTCAATCCCTAACCCTCCCTCACAGACACACAGACTTCCCTCAATCCCTAGCCCCCTCACCCACACACAGACTCCTCTCAATCCCTAGCCCCCTCACCAACACATAGGCTCCTCTCAATCCCTAGCCCCCCTCACCCACACAGGCTTCCCTCAATCCCTTGCCCCCTCACCCACACACAGACTCCCCTCAATCCCTAGCCCCTCACCCACACAGACTTCCCTCAATCCCTAGCCCCCCTCACCCACACACAGACTCGCCTCAATCCAAAGCCTCCCAACCCATACACAGACTCCCTTCAATCCCTAGCCCCTCCCTCACCCAGAGACTCCCTTCAATCCCTAGCACCCAACCCACACACAGACTCCCCTCAATCCCTAGCCCCCCTCACCCACACACAGACTCCCTTCAAGCCCTAGGTCCCCTCACCCACACACAGACTCCCCTCAATCCCAAGCCCCTCTCACCCGCACACAGACTCCCCTCAATCCCTAGCCCCCACCCACACACAGACTCCCCTCAATCCCTAGCGCCCTCACCCACACACAGACTCCCCTCAATCCCTAGCCCCCTCACCCACACGCAGACTCCTCTCAATCCCTAGCCCCCCTCACCAACACACAGACTCCTCTCAGCCCTAGCCTCCCTCACCCACACACAGACTCCCCTCAATCCCTAGCCCCCTCACCCACACACAGATTCCTCTCAATCCCTAACACTCCCTCACCCACTCACAGACTCCCCTCAATCCCTAGCCCCCCTCACCCACACACAGACTCCTCTCAATCCCTAGCCCTCCCTCACCCACATACAGACTCCCCTAAATCCCTAGCCCCCTCACCCACACACAGACCCCTCTCAATCCCTAGCCCCCCTCACCAACACACAGGCTCCTCTCAATCCCTAGCCCCTCCTCACCCACACACAGACTCCCCTCAATCCCTAGCCTCCCAACACATACACAGACTCCCTTCAATCCCTAGCCCCTCCCTCACCCAGAGACTCCCTTCAATCCCTAGCCCCCAACCCACACACAGACTCCCCTCAATCCCTAGCCCACCCCACATACACACAGACTCCCTTCAAGCCCTAGCCACCTCACCCACACACAGACTCCCCTCATTCCCAAGCCCCTCTCACCCGCACACAGACTCCCCTCAGTCCCTAGCCCCCACCCACACACAGACTCCCCTCAATCCCTAGCCCCTCACCCACACACAGACTCCCCTCAATCCCTAGCCCCCTTACCCACACACAGACTCCCCTCAATCCCTAGCCCCCCTCACCCACACACAGACTCACTTCAATCCCTAGCCCCCCTCACCCACACACAGACTCCCTTCAAC